ACCCAATGCCCCATGCTGCCACTGCTCTGCCTCTGGCCCTGTTGGGTGGGGGGGCGCCTGAGTGGGGTGGGGGAGCGGAGTGAGGCCAGCATTGCATTGCCAGCAGCTGCACTGCCACACCTTGCACAGCTGCACCCCGCTCCATCCCCTCCATCATGGTGGCACTCTGCCATCCCAGGCTGTCCCCCTCTGCCTCCTTGGAGGCAGTGCTGGCCCTGCCCCCCTGCTGCGACCCTGCTCTTTGGAGGCAGAGGCGGTTGGCAGAGATGGCGCCACCATGACAGCGGGGACTGAGGGGCCGAGGCGGGGGTCCGGCCCCTCAGTCCCTGCTGTCATGGCGGTGCTTCTGTCTGTGCAGAGCACTCTGATGGGTTGTTTCAGCAAGCACTATGATTGACTGCCGAAACAACCCATCAGAGTGCAAATAAAGCGTTACAGACAGACAGACTAAGCCTTTAATACTATTAGAATTAGATATTCCACTTTCTGTGAACTCTACAAAATGGAAAGTCCCTTGTCTTTGAGACAAAGGGCCCAATACTCACCTAACGTAAAAGTTAAAGGCAGAGTTACACAATTTATACCACCTGAGGATCCAGCTCACTGTTACTGGAACCTGCTCAGTCTCTAAAGCCATTCTTTTATCAAAGCAATTTGGCAAGATATAATACCTAAGACTGTGTACATGTGTTCTTTCCTAGCAATGGAAAATTTCCACTGTTAGAAACTTTTCCAAATGAGAGACTAGTACAAGTATTCAGCTTGCAACCACTCCATCTCCCCTGCTCCTTGTGCCTTCCCAAGAATGGGGTGATCCCAGTCTGGGGAAGGTGAGGGCTATGCCAGTCCTCCCATTTATGGGAAGAATGGAGCAGAAAGACAAAGCCCCCTGCCAGGGGTGACGCATAGGTGTGCATGTGGGTGTACGTGCAATTCCCTGAGTGTGGCGGTGCACCCCCTACAAAAAGACACCGCCAACACTGTCGGTAGCCCCTTTCAGTGGTTGCTGCTCACCACCCAGCCACCAACACCACCAGTAGGTTCTGCGGGAGCTCCCGCTTACTGCCACCACGCTCCCCCCAGTCACCAGGGGCACACGTTGTTCATTGCCCCTGCCTACTTCTCAGACTGGGGACTTTGGTGTAAAACGCAGGCAGAAACTTGTGGCACCACTCCTTCTGCTTGCCTTGTGGTGCCAGGGAGCTGAGTGGCTTGAGCAGTGTGGCAAAGCCCTCTGCCTGCTTCTCCCCATGGATCCTGGGGCATGAGGAACCAGCAGGGAGCATCTGTTCCTTCCCTCCCCCTCTGGTCCATGGGATGAGTGGGAGTAGCTGTCTCCAGACCAGAGTGACCCTGGTTTCTGGAAGGCACAAGGAGCCTTTCCCTAAAGCTCCACTCCTCCTGGTCCCCAGGAGAACTTAAGGCATGGGAAAGTGTACAAGCATTCATCCTCCCAGGAGGAACTCTCCTGGGAGTGACTTCTAACAGGTTGGAGCAGGGTTATTTTTTCCCCCCTCAAAACCTCCATTTTTGGTCCAGGAGAAATAACATGAATGCTATGCATAGCCTATGATTTCATAGCTGACATTGATTAGTTTTCATATAAGCCTCCTGTTCCTCTTTGGGGATAGTGCCATAAGATTCACATTCCTGTTACTGGTTTGGCACTGATAGCTAGAACAGTTATAATTGCATCTTGTACCACCGGGGCAGAGTGGCGCCAACTTGCACAAATACTTAATGAAACACGAATTTCTACATCTAGGTATGCTGGATTCTTTAGACCATCAAGAAAAGAAAAAACGACTGAAAGGTCCTAAAGCTTCACAAGATCACATCTTTCTAAAATAATACCCTTGTAGATTGTTATATCACGTATTTCCCTACTTACTTTAGTTTCTTCAAAGATGTCTAAGAATCTGAGACTTTTCATATTTTAATGACCAAAAACATGCTTACTTTTCAATAAATCCATCTCTAGTAAAATAGTCATGCTGCAGCAGATCTGTTGATGAGATCCTATCAGCTGGATCTATTTGTAAGCATGCCTATAAAATAATAGATATTTTAGAAGAATGTTAAAATAATGTGTAGCATGCTACCATGTAAACAATGGTGTGTATTAATGTCTATCGTAATAATACAATGCTATTTTGTAATTCACTGATGCTCAGAGATTACTAACATATTTATATGTACATCATGTCATTTGTATCAATAGATACCCCTTTTAAGTGAAAAGAATCTCATTAGACTCAAAAGAGTCTTCTAGGAATAGTGCCACTCACAGCATTTATAATGTAATTTCTAGTGTCTTGGTTCCCTTCCACTGCCATACAATCCAGTTCTAGTTATTTTTCTCTTTTATGCTTCTTGTTTGGGAACAATGGCATCTATACTATAGGCATCTATAGTTACATATCTATAGTTACAGCCAAATTCTGTTCAGTGTAGTTGAGTAGAAGAGTCCAAATGATTCTGTCTGCATGATCCAAGGAACAGTCCAGGGTCCAAGGGCTTGCTTAAGTTATACTGGCTGGTATAGTCTCTTTGGGACTTTACTGGCTGAGGTTTTCTGTATTTTACTTTCCATATCTCCTAGATACAGGGTAAAAGAAAAGGATATATCGTAGAACAGACCAGAATTTTCTTATAGTAGGAGGCTCCTCTGCTGCCTCTTTGGAGAAATCTTGCTGCAACTTTTCACTCCCAAAACTGCCCAAGTGATCAAAAATCTGACCCAGACATAGGTTAGATTATGTGCCTGTTTTCATTTAACTTCTTACTCTGACAGCTCTTTACTTTACTGCATTTTACCTATGCAGTCAGAACAAGACTCCAAGCTGCAATTTCTGTTCTGTTCTTTCCCAGACAAAAAGTTGTCTTGGCATTACTGACATGCTTAGATGACTCCGAGATGTCGTTGTTCCACTAGAGGGTTCCTCAGCGCTTGCTGACTCCCTTCCAGATCCTTATTTAAATAATTTACCAAAACACTGGTAATTTCCTTTGTCAGCACTTCTGTTATGGTGAAGTTCATAATTCAGAGCAAAGTAGAGTCTACATATATATAGAACATTCCTGTTGTGTCCAGTAAATATAAAACTTTTCTTCCCACTATAACGTCATACATAAGCTGCAAGTCTGGTTCCTTCTGTATTGCTACTTCTGAACATGGAATGGGAAACATTTCCAGTGAAAGGTCCCCTAAGACCATCCTTCTAGTAATCAAGTAATCTAATATACCTCCTCTCTGCTATTTATTTAAACTCTAGCAGTCATCTCTTGAGCACCCAAGTCTGTATAGATATCTCATGAGATTCAAGATGTTTGTGTTCAATAGTCAAATCACCAAAAAGATCCCTTGGTCATCATCAGATACTGTTATGAATGTTTCTCATAAAGACACCTATTACCAGAGCATTTGTCTTACATTTCTAACTCCCTTTCCTTTTATGGGCAACTTAATACAATGGGAATGATCAGCCTCCTCTACCTGTACGATTCTAACTGGGAATGTTCTTCATTTGCCTCCACTGCAAGACTAATTACTCCCAACTGTATAATAAGATTAGCCTGCTCTACAGACATCCCATTGTACAATGCTCTTATGTTTTTATAGGGATAGCAGATAGGACGATCTAAAATAAATCTAAATTAATTAAATATAAACTGTGTTATTTGCCTACAAATTGTTGTAGATAAGGCTTAAGCAAAAACCTTTGTCTATCAAGGATGATGCAATAGATAAATTCTCTCTTTTCCTCCCCTTCAAGTTCGAATTACTTTTGATCGCAAGCAAAATGTATTTTCTTGTAAAATCACCACGCAATTAGCAATATTGGTGATTTACTCTTGCAAAAGATTTCCTATTGGAGTTGTTAAAGATGTTATATCAGAACTGGGCAGAGAAAAATAGAATAAGGCTGAAGCAGTCTGTCACTTTAGCCTATGCAGTCATTCATTTTGTGAACACTGTAATTCAACCAATTAAAGAAATCTTGGCTTATGGTCCTTTCAGTGAATGAAAGGGACCTTTCATTTCCTTACAACATAATTTTCTAATGCTGATGAAAGAATGGACTAGTAAAAGAACTGTGCTCCTGAAAGCATCATTACTCTCTACTGAACTCAGTACTTTAGACTTCTGTTTAAATTTCCATGATATTAGTATTACAGGAGTGCCTGGCAGTACGGTTACCATTATGACTTTGTGAAATGTGTAATAAGCTTTTTTAAGTGTGCATCATTTGGAGAATGTGTACAATCCCTACGATACCATTCCAAAGAAGGAAAATTGCAGGAAGAACACCTGTGTGGACAGCTCTCCACGTAACAGAATGGATTTCTTCACCAGTCCCAAATGGACCGAGATAACTGGGATTTGCTGAAGGAAACTTGTCTAGTAAATGATATGAGAGATCATAGACAAACACAAATAATAATCATCATCACGAAGCTTGATACCCAGACCTCTTCTAACATACATGAACCATATCTGCCAGTAATGCACCAAGTTTGGGGTACTTTTTCCTTGCATTTTTTGGGTGCTGGACTTCAGGGAGGACCACCCCTGAAAAAACTGGGTTCTTTATAAAAACACTCTGAAGATGAGGTGTCAAATTGCCTGAAAGAAAACATAGTTTATAAAATTCATTGTGAGTAGCCAACAAATCAGTGTATTTAAAACAAATATAATTAAGTATGGATATAGTAATTACACTATTCCTATGAGAATGGCTAAAATAAATTTTAAAAAATCTCTCAGCAAGAAAGCCTTCAGGCTGCAAAGCTGAAAAATATTTAGCAACAGTCCTAGATTGTTCTATTTCTCTCTGTATTCCCTTCCCAAGAGAAAGGCTGCAGAAAAAGCAGAACCCTCCAGCAAAGACTTGTTCTGCACCATAAATTAATTTTGCAGTTTGATGCACGAAGATAAACATGTATATCCCTGCATACTGAGATGAGGTTTTACCTTTCTGTTCATGGTTCATGTCACCAGAACAAACTACTTGAATCCATAGCATGGATTAGCACGCAGAATGAAATCATCATTCTTTTTACAATTAAAATTCTCCTCCCTAGAGTTTTATAATATTATGAGTATAAAACTTACGCTATTGCAAATCTTCAGCTTAATGCAAAACATCAGCAAGAGAAGATACTTACTGGTAACTCAAGTTCTTCAAGATTTATCCATCTGCTTATGCATTTATGTAATTTATATGCCACCCTTCTCAACAAAGGCTCAAGGCAGTTTATAGCAAGAGAAATGGAAACTTAAAAGGCAACTAAAATAAATAAAATGACAAAATAAAACAACATAAAGCAGAGACCCACTAAACAAAATTTTGGCCTGATTTTGGTTGCTGAATGCCTGCCTAAACAGAAAGGTCTTGCAGCTCTTCCAAAAGATGTCCAGGGTCAGGCTTTGGCAGGCTTCCAAAGGGAGGGAGTACAACTCAAAGCCTTTTGCCCTAGCAATACCCATCCAGCAACCTTGTGCCTTGCCTTTATTCATGCTCTGTGCTGAGTCCATAGAGGGTGCTGTGTACTTCAGATTCCTCTCAGCTGAGGAATTTGTCTGTCAAAGACTTCAAAGAAGAGGTGAAGGACAGGATGTGGATGTATGGACACTACATACCTCAGAACTCCAGTTATTGTAGTAGTTTTTCTTTCTCCTTCAAGTATTTGTCTATAAGAGTATTTCCAGTGTGGTTTCTCCAAAGAACTGCCCCAATTTGACTCTTTTGTGCTATGGATGAGAATATATCTGGTAGGAGATAAGCAAGCCCATTGTACTGTTGAGACACATCCCATGCTGGACAAGCAGATCCTGATTTTCTTCACTGACGTCCAAAGGAAATCTTGGAACCAGAATTGCTTCAGCAATTGGGGCCAGCAGAATTAGCCATGCATAGTCCTGCCTCATCTTGCATACCATTTTTGGAGACAGAGGCAAGGGCTGGAGGCATGTAAGTTTTCCTCATGATGGGATGAGAAAAGCACTGAATAATGAGCTGCAGCTTAGCCATACCCTAATACTGAGAGGTGAATCAGATAATAGACTGGACTGGGTAACAGTAAGGACTAGAACCAGGCTTGAAGAAGAAAAGTTGTGGCCATTAGAGAATCTAGGATGGACCCTCTGAACTCATTTTTTAAATGGGACCAGGTGCATCTCATGGGTATTTAGGCCTTGGGTTGAAAATAGATATAGAGTGGTGCTGAGGTGCTCTGGCACTTGTTCAGAGGAATTGTATTACACGGCAATTGCACAAGAAAGGCAGTCTATGACACTGGTCCTTCTGAGATGGGACATCACCATCTGCAAAAGTCTGTGAGCTGTCAAGAGGCCAAATGGAAGGATCTTGTATTAGCAAGGGTCCTGGAACATCCCAAAGTGGAATTGTTTTCTGTGGGAGAGCATGATAAGTGTAATAAAGGACAGAATGGGAGGGTGTGATGAGAGCAAGCATCTTGAAGGTTGAGAGCTGCAAACTAGTACCCTCATTTTAGTGATGGTATAATAGTGGCTAACACCATCATGTCAAACTTGGGAAAACCCAACTCCTTCAATCATATGCTCAAATCTAAGACAAGCCACTCTCTCTCCTTCCTTTTTGGAACCAAGTAGCAACTGCTATAAAACTCTTTTCCACCCCTCTGTTTCTCTTTTCACCCCAAGCACAGGGCAAGGCACGCTGCATGTAGATTCCATGAGTACAGCTTACGCAAAAGTCTCCAAGCCCAACTGTTTGAGGCACACACTCACCTACTATCTGAATGCGTATATGTACAAGCACTCAAAGTAGAACACTTGCTTTCTTTACATCTTTAACTGGCATTCCTTTATTATTATACAGTACTTGCAGCACCTTCCATAAGCACCAAAGAAGGAAAAAATACTAAAGTGTTTAACAGTAAGATTAGGATATTATTTGAGCTACCTTACAATGAATAGTGTTTACCATTTAAAGTAATTAATCTTGAAAACAAGTATTACATATATTCTTCAGTCAAGCTGTACTAAATCATATCTATTGACTGATTCTGTATCCAATATCCAGTTAGCTATGTCCAAAACTGCAAACTGACAATTAACTTGAGGCGGTGGTGATCATCATGATTTAATTACATTACCAGATCCCACCCGTGGACATACAGGTCAGTAATTCATAACTGCCTGTCTATTTTCTATGAATTTCGCGCACACTGTCATATAGGCCATATTTTGCCAAAATAAAGGAATGCAGACAACCTTCTATATCAATGTACTCTATACGTCTATTGGTACAGTATTTGGGTGCAATAGCATAGCCCCAGAATGCTTTGACCTGCCCCTAGACCAAACATTTAAATTTCATTTTCTCATATTTCAGTTAAACTCTACATGCTACTGATAAACCTGACAAGATGAGATTTGATATGAATAGGTAATACTTTGCTAATTCCAGACTGCCCTTTGCTGATGTAGTCTTTGCCTAAGCAACATCTTGGACATGATAGGAAAACTGCCATTTGCCACACAGGCTAAGTTAAGAGCTTAAAAAAATACCTGTTACATCAGAAACAGTACCACTGTTCAATAATTAACATTTTATAGCAAGTGTCTTTGGATCCAGTCCTGAAATTGTTTATGCCATTACCTACATTTACACGCAGACGGCAATCAAATTAACACGGTATGTCAAAGTTGTTCTTAAATACTGTCTGCACTACATTCGACAGTACTCACCTACTTTAGTCACAATTTTATGAAGTAGGTCTAGGTCAGAACTGCTAGGCAGATAGGGATTCCCAGTGGCCATTTCAATGATCATACAACCTAAAGCCCAGATGTCCACAGGTCTAAGATCAGGAAACAAACAAAGTGCTCAGCAAGACAAAACTGAAGCAAGGATAAAACTTAGCAAAGAGCTACTAGTTATAGAGAAAAACTTAGAAGGTCTTAAAATATCTAAAAAAATACCAGAGTATCTGAAAATATAAAAAAATTAATTTCATTAGAAATAATGTAATGGCTTTCTAAAAAAAGGTCTTCACAAGTATTTATGAAATACTATTTCTACATTTAGCTACAAAACAATTATCTATTAAAACCTTCCTTTAACTCATGTAGCATTAGAGTGAGGGTGGGTTTTGTGGCTAGGTGTGGGCCCCTCCACCATGGCACTTAGCTCCCACCAGCGCCAGTGGCAGCAGCAGGCGACAAGCCCTTAGGGTGCTCCTGGCACACTGCAGGCAGAGCCTCCTGGAGGCTCCGGTTGAACCCTGGGATCTGCACATGGTGATACGGAGCCAGCCCAGCCCACAGACATGGACCTTCGAATCAGACCAGGCTGGCTCTGTGCCAGCACATGTGGCTCCCAACACTGCAGGCAGGAGCTGCATGCCATTATCCTGGGCTAGGCTGGCTCCATGCCTCCGGTCCACATGGAGCCAGTCATGGGCCAGGAACACCCCAAGGGCCCACTGCCTGATGCTGCCACCACCAGTGGGTACTGTGCACCATGGGGGGCAGGATGGCATGTGGTGGCAGGGCCCATACCCACCCATACTCTCCCACAAACCCCTCCAACCCCCACCACACACACCCCTTCACAAACCTCATACCCCCCAAACCCACACAAACACATATACAAGAGTAAGACTTAATTTTAAGTTATTATGCAATCCCCTCTATATATACTATGCAAATCCATGTAAATCAGGACAGGCAAGGGTCGGGGGGGGGGGCAGGGGACAGGACACGGG